TTGATCATGTGACTTGGCTAAGTTTACTTAAAAAATTCGTGACTTAATCAATCTGCACAAAATAATAACGTAACTGTGTTATTTTTTTTATTGATTTATTACATTTCTTTAATTTCTTTTTTACATTATTCCTATATTCTTTAATCAAAAATTCTCCTTTTTACACCTTTACACCTATTCCCACATCTTTTAATCGTAAAAAATTACCTTTTTTCACACCATTATCATTATGTCATTACAAAATAACAAAAAAAAAACAACAAACTTCGTAGCCATGCTCAATTAAGGCAATGTATTACTAGACCTACACTAAAGATAACTTTAGCAAGGCTTTCTTTGTGATTTAAAAGAAATTTCATACATTTTGCCAGCTGGTGAGAAAGCTTATGATCTCTAATATTATACGTTAAAAATTTTAAAGCTTTTCAAAAAAAGTTTGACAGTTCGATCAAAACTTTTAAAAAAATTAAAAGAAATAATTAAAAAGTTTCGATTTAAAAAACTTTTAAAAAAAAATTAAAGATAAGTTTCAATAGTTAAGAGGGTAAAATAATGTGAAGAGAACGTGCATGGAAAGAAGAAATTATCGTATATAAATCACTAAATACAAGAGAATAGTTTATTTCAAAAATCATTCAAATTAATGATGATCCGCAAATTGCAGTTTGATAAAGACTAAGCTTTTTTAAGCTTAATCTTTTTTTTCGTTAGCTTTCTCTTTCCTTTCATAATTTCCTCTTTTCAATTTCCTCTCTCCCACTCTTTCCCTCTTTGTTCTTTCCCCTTTCTTTTATCCTTTCTTTTTCTTTTTGTTTTTCTCACCCTTTCCCCATTTTTTTCTTTACTTTTTTTTTTAGCAGCTACTTTGAATCCCCTTGAACATGGTTTCATAAGTTTCTCTCTTCAAGTTGTTTCTCTTATTAATGAAGGTTATTAACACTCATTTTTTACTTTTTTAGGCGTTTTTTATATGTTTGGGTGTATGGAAAATTTGGTGGGTAAATCGTTTTTTTAGCAGTTTTTTATTTTAATTAAAAAAAGAACTTTTTTTCTCTTTACTTTTTAAAGAAACAATTAAAGTTTCTTTTTTTTTCTTTTTGTAGACAAAATACAGTATCTAGATACATGGAAAATTTGGTGGGTGAAGTTTTTTTTACTATTTATTGTTTCTCTTGACAAAAAATTCACTAATGTTTCATTTGTTCATTTTTGTAGTCTTTGAATATTTGGACGTGTGGGAATTTTGGTAGGAAAAGTGATTTTTTAAATTATTCTTTAATGAAATGTTTACTGACATTTCAGTTTTTTAGGCAGCTTCAGGGTCCTTAGACGCAGATTACGGTATTTTTTTTTACATTCTTAAACTTTTATTTTAACGAAATGTTAACCTAACAATTTCGTTTTTCATTATTTTAGATGGGTCTCCAACTCTTTGGATGTGCGAATGGTGCTCTTTTAGGTAGGTTTTTTTATTTTATTTGGTTTTTGTTCATTTATATATATACTAATTTTCCTTTTTTAAGGGATTTTCTTTATTCGTTAGGACGTGTGAGAATTCGATAGGGAAAGGATTTAATATATTTCTTTCAACAAAATATTTTTTTAACAATTCATTCATATTTTTTTTTAGATGGTCGAAGATTGGATTTTTGTTGAATTCAGCAAATTTTTCAACGGATTTCTTTTTATCTTTATTTTAACGAACCTTACTTTTTGATGAAACTTACTAATATTTTGTTATTTTCTTCTATTTTATAAGGGACCAGTACTAGGACGTGTAAAATCATGGAATTTTGGTGAGTATTTCAGCAATCTTCCTTGAATTTTTTATTTTAACGAAACTTATGTTTATTTTTATTCTTTTTTTTAGACAGCCAATTTTTCTGGATGTGTGGATTTCAGTAGGGAGAGCAGGAATTTTTAATCCATTTTAACGAAACATTCACTAATGTTTCATTTATTCTTTTTTGTAAATGGTCAGTTCTTCTTGGAGTATTTGGATGCATGGAATAATTTATTTTTAGATGCTTTTATATTTTATACAGGGAATTATATTATTAATAATAATGTATAATTTGGCGTAAAAATAAATTGCATTATTTACTTTATTAAATATTTGTAATTAAAGTATGTTTACAACGTTGTAAATAATAAATAATAGCACATAGACTGTATATTCACAATAGTAAAATAAGTATAGTGAAATCGTTTTTACAGTAAATTAAAAAAGTATAGTGGCAATGCATTTTCTTACTTTTGCAACGCGTCGTATGACGTTTGATAGCGACGCACAAGACAATGAGCTAATCATGTGATTATAGCGTAGTGACAACGTTGTTTAAAAAAATGAAGTTTCTGCAATGTATAAAAAAAAATTTTTATTAAACCTCTTGTTATGTATAATAAAAAAATATAATTTCTGGCCCATAACTTCACAAAACTACAGTGTGGTACCTCTATAACCAACCCATTTTCAAAAAGATGTCACATTAGCAAAAAATAATATTTTAAAATTCTAACCAATAATTTTAATAAAGCATATCAAGAGCTTTTAAACTTATCAGGTTAGATTAAAAAATAATAAATTTTGCTAATGTTACATAAGTTTGAAGTTCAGGTAATTTATTATGATGGGAAAAATTTGAGAATAAGTGATTTTTGTGTAACATAAAAAAAACAATAATTTGATAGTACTTATTCAAATAAATCATTTTAGCTTATAAACTTACCCATGCTTTATTAAAAAAATTTTGAAAAAAAATTTAAAAAAAATTTTGGTAGTTTTTATTTATTGCAAATTATATTATGTTTATTTCTCAAAAAAGAATTACAGGAAAACTTGCTAAAAAAAATATAAATCCTATAGAAAAGTTCCTGATGATATGCTTAATCAAATTACTTTAAATAATTATAATGAATAATAAATTATATATAAAAAATTATGCATAATTCTAATTAACATTAAGTATTGTATTAGCCAATCAAATGTATTTTAAGTCATGTGATTTTGTATTATGTCAGCAAAAAAAATTGAGAAAATTTTTTTAATTGCTTAATGTATTAATCTTTTTAAAAGCTATCTAATTTTAAAATTTTAAAAAATTCTGACCATTAGATCACAAGATATAAGGGATACCTATTATAGAGGTACCGCACTGTATAAATTAAAATAATGCTAAAGTTTTTTAATAAAAATGCTTAATTTTTAATGAAAATGTAAATAAAAAAATTAATTTACGAAACCTACTATATAAAAATATAATAAAAACATTATTCCTCAGTATCTTGTGAGATACCCACGAGCTTTTTAAGACTGCATCAATTCTACAAATCATGCTTTCCACAAGCTTTTGGTAAACTTTACTCGGAATTTCTAAGCAACATTCTTGAAGAAGTACCTCCAATTCTGCTAAATTTTTAGGATTATTTTGCTTTGCTCGTTAGCTCGTATGCGCCTTTCAAGCTCATCCCACAAATATTCAATAGGGTTAAGGTCAGGACTTTGTCCTGGCCATGGTAGCAAATTTATTTCACTTTCTTCTATAAAATTTCGCGTCCTTGCACTAGTGTGAATTGGTGCATTGTCTTGCTGGAACAGATAGTCCCCATTTTCTTCTTCAAAACTTTCTAAAAATGGTATCATGTGACACCCAAGTATCTCTTCTATGTACCTTTGACTATTAATTCAACCATCAATCCTCACCAAGGGACCCAACCCAAACCATGAAAAACACCCCCACATCATAACTCCACCTCCACCATGTTTCACTGTTGGGACGAAGCAATTAATATCATATTTTTCTTCTGTAAGACGCCAAACCTGAATTTTTCCATCATTTTAAAACATGGTGAATCGAGATTCATCACTCCACACTACTTTCTTGCAATCATCTATGGTCCATAAACATCTTTCACGAGTCCAATTTAATCGTATTTTTCAATTACGTTCACTAATACTGGGTTTTCTAAGTGCTGTACAGCTATTATAACCCATGCCATATAATGTTCATTGCATAGTACTTCTGCTGATATCATTTCCAGTGGATGCAATAAAAATTTCCCTTAAATTTTCGTTTATCCCTTACAGTCAGCTTCTTTGGATGACCACTTCGAGGAGCAACAGTAATAGCACCTGTTTTACGATATTTTGTTATTATATTGTGGATAGTGGTTTTTCCATAGCCTGTTTTTTCTGAAATAGCTATTTCAGTGTCACCAGCTTTATAATAACTGATAACCTTTCCACGTTCGAAATCCGTTAGTTCTTTTGTTTTAACCATTATGTTTATTTTTTTTTTAAAACAAAAAAGAAGCTAAAACTTTGTGTAATAAACATTACTAATTAACGTACGTCATAAATAGTTTTCGTTTCAGGGATAATCTTACACCACCTCGCATGTTACGAATATTAATAGTGTTAGTTACACTGCATAAAGGATGTGACATTTTATGCAAGTGACAAATAGAGATCAGACCACAAAAAAATTTAGGTGGTCCTAAACTTTTGACGCGGGGAGTGTATATTATCATTAATCAATTTGTATCTTTTTCACTAATTTTGTTTACTTGACCACTAACAACCTTTGTTACAAAATTCTTATCGTTGTTTGTTAAGAATAAATTATCATTAGTTTTATAATGCCTTGTTTTATTTATTGACTTGCTATCGGTATCTGAAAGACTCAAAAAAAAGCTTTTAATAAATCTTCATATAATTCCTTTGGTAAAAGTTTTCTGAAAGGTAATACTTTATCATAAATTCTTTAGAAGTTAAATTATAAAATTTAATAAATGGATACTATTTTTTAAAGTTTGAAATCATCTTTTGAATACAGCACTAGTTTGTAAAATTAAAGGAAAGATCTGAATTTTGAGTGATTCTCCAATTTAATCACTTGATCCCAAAATTTGAACTTCGCTCATTTGAAGATTGATCATTCTGAATAAGAGATATCAAAATTTTTTCCGGAATTGAAGAAAAATTTGATGGTTTAAATATCTTAATCTGGGTCTTTTGATATTAAATCAATATAAAATTTTTGAAGTTCCAATAAAGAATTGTTTTCAAAACTTGTTTGATATATAAAATTAAAATTTTCTTCAGTCCAATTTGTTTTATTTTCAATCAAAAATGATTGTAAATAAAGCGACCAATTCCTGAAGACTTAATTCACTTGAAGCACCCAAAATTTTTAATGATATCTAAAACATCACACTCCTCTAAAGAATCATTACCTCCATAAATTATATATCTATAAAAAATTATGAATATATTTTTACTTTCTGAAAAATAAAGCAAAAAAATAATAATGTAACAATATATTTATTTTTATATTAGTACCTTAAAATTATTGAAAAATTTTCTGATGAAATATTTGATAATTTAATGTGCGCAAAAGTTCTATCATTTTCCTTTTTATTAGTTGATAAAATTCTTTTCAAATAAGGGGAACGATAATATAAAATAACCACATGTGTACGAAATATTTTTACGTAAGGGTTTTTACCAACTTCAATAATAATATCGTAAAATTCTTCATCATTTAAAACATCAAGCAAATTTTGAGATAATTTTGACAAATAATTTTCAACCATTATAATTAATTGAATTTTAAAGTGGAAAATGAATAATAAAATAATTGGACAATAACAACAATGTCGGTAGTGTTACACAAACTCGCCGATTGATCAGTCCTAATCGCGTGATCGAAATAATCACGTAAGAAAATTTATATCTAGTTTAATAGTTATGTTTTTTCTATAATTTCTAGTTGTTGGACCAAGGTTGGACCACGTGGACCAAGTATAGAATACATACTACAACAATAGAAGAAGGATTTGAAATCAAGGAAATTATATGATTCATTTGATTTATCCGAATTATAAAATTATGATAGGAACAACTTTCTTTTACTTATTATTTATCAGTTATGGTTTTATTTAACAATAAATAAATAACCATTAGTAATGGTTTTTATGTATAAACCAACTTACAAATCGAAATTCTTTTCTACGAATTCAACCTATGTAAGATAAAAACCTGTCAGTGATTTTGCGACAAAATAAAATAAAGTTAACCGAATCTATAAAAATCGGTTAATGAACAGTTTACTAAATTCAATTAAAAGTAATAAATTAAATAATGTATATCATGAATCCATATAAGCTCTTTTCCACTTGGAACTATTTAAATTAAAAATAATAATAATAAACGACAGTCAATTAGATAAACCTAAAAATTTTTTGATATTTATCTAATTAGTTGGAAAAAGTTTTCGGTTGTTTCCTTAGAACTAAACTTTTTTTAAACTTGAAAACTTAGGTTCAGTACGTATTATTTATGTAGCACATGTTTGGGCCTGATTTACAAATACAAGTTGCTTATTCGACTATTTTCTTTCAATTTAAAATTTAAAATCTAATACCGAGATTTTTATGAGTTTGCAGTTTGTGGTTAATAATAAAAGGATAATATACTTAAACAAAAGGGAAATTTTGCACAATTAATGTTTATTCTTTAAGATATCACCCAGATTCATATTTCACTAGATAACGCGGCAAAAAGCTTTGTTTAATTTAAAGTGAAACTTTAGAATATTACAATTGAATTCGGTAAGTGGTTTAGTATGCACAAAAGGAATTATCAAAAAAAATCAATATTATTAATATCTTTTTCTTTAGATGTATATCAGCAGTTTTGAAAGTACATCTTATTCTTTGTCGCTCTTGTTCACGCCTCTAGTAGAACGTCACATTAGTTTCTAACTTTTCTTTCCCATATTCCTTGAACTATTTGGATTATTTTATGCATTTTTATATCAAATCATTATTGATAATTTTAACTTTGATTTGCTAATTGACCATGTGCTTAAATCAACAATTTTTGTAGTAAATTTGGGCCCGCACTGGAATAATTTCGGCCAGAATCGGGATAATCGATTAAATAAATGATTCAATGACGGTTATGCTCGATCAAATTTACATCTAGCTATTTTCAAAAATTTTAAAAACTTTTCAATTCGTTAGTCAAATACTCAATCCGTTTGTAAAGAAATTTCAAGAATAACACGAAAGAAACGAAACTATAAAAAAAGAAGTGGTCCTAAACTCCTAGTATTGTTTAAGAAACATACTAATTATTTTTATAATAGAAGGCAGATACATAGGCTAATCTCCTCCAAGACTCCTTAATGTCCTTGCCACTAGTTATAAATCGTCTACTAAATAAAAAAAAACAACAAATTAAAAAAAAACAAATTAACGAAGATAAAAAATAGAAAAATAATTAAACATAAAAAGTACAGATAAAAAACAACGTAATAAATACAAATTAAAAAATATAAATCAAATCAAACTAAAAATATATTATGGATGTTCTGACTGTTCTGTGGCTGTGTTATTGTAGACGATTAAATTAATCGATTAAGACGGTTAATTGGTATCTCAAAATAATTCTGGTCAAATTCCCTAATGCAGCCCAAGGCTGTGAATTTTATGTCACGGTTATCCAAACTTATTTTTTAACAACCGAATTTTTATTAATTTTTTAATAAACAAGTTTAATAAATAACATCCTTAAACGACGTATACAATTAGACAAACCTTATCATACACGTGTTCTATATATCACCACTTTCTTCTACCGAAGTATAAATTTGTAATTGAACATTTTATTAAAAAAGTACAATTAGAAATTAAAGACTTTAATATTTATTTAGCAATGAACTCGATGTTTACGTCATGAATTAAAAATGATTTATTGAATTCAATCAGTATATTAAAAATATTAATATAAAGCAAAAAAAATGAAATATATTTTTTTTCTAACTAATAAATTCAGAATAAAAATTATTAAAATTATATTAATAGAAATTAATTTTCACTTAATATTTTAAAATTGGGTTTTGTTTTTTATCGCACCCGCGATATGTCGCAAGGGCATGCGCCTCCTAATTTTATTGGCGAAAAATTTTTTTGTGGCGCGTCAAATTTCAATTGTAACACGATCTTAAAAAATTTTTTTTAAAAAAATTCTTCAATCTGTTTTGGTTTCTTTGTCCCTACCCTTTAATAAAAACAAACCTTTACATTTCTTTTCTAATTACGTTTTCATTAAAAACATTGTTTATCATGTTTATATTCGATGGTTGGTTTCTTTTTTCTTCTTTTTTGTCTTGTTTTGAAAACTACACTAAAGGTTTTTTTTTCTTTTTTCAGGTCCTTTGCGTTGTGGATTTTGACGTTAATATCATTTGAAAAGAGACTTTTCGTTCTTTAAAGACTCGGTAGGTGAAGTTTAATACACCGTGTTTAATAACCTTAAAAACACTATTAACGATTTTTTTTTTTACTTTAGATTCTTTCACTTTAGATTCTTTTCACAACGGAAGTTTAATGTCAATTTCGTTACTCTTCCTTCTTCTCATTTGGAAAAAATATTGGTAAGTGTCGGTTATATAGACTATGAACTAATTTAAACGGCCTCTTCAAAGTTTTTGTATATGTATTAACCTCTTGTAAACAATATTAACCAATTTTCTTCTTTTTTTTAGGTTCTTTAATTTGATTTCCTTTCTAAAGAAGACCTCTTACTTTCCACTTTGGCGAAGTCTCGGTAGGTGTTATTCAGGTTGTTGGTGTACGCGAAGCTTTTAGAAACAACACTAACAGGTGTTTTTTCTTTTTTTTTAGGTTTTTTTTCGTTGTAAAAGCTAAGATTTACCGCCGATTGTGTTTTTTTTCATTTCGGTAGGTGTTATATAGGTTAATGGTTCATGTAATAACCTGTTATAAATGATATTAATGAGTTTTTTTCTTTTTTTAGGTTCTTTCACGTTGTTAAAGCCAAACTTTAAAGCTGATCTCATTTTTAAGGTACCTTTGTTACCTTTCACTTCGGTAGGTGTTATATGGGCTAATGGTGTATGTAATAACCTATTATAAATGATAATATTAATGAGTTTTTTTTTCTTTTTTTAGGTTTTTTTCACGTTGTTAAAGCCAAACTTTAAAACTGATCCCATTTCTAAGGTACCTTTGTTACCTTTCACTTCGGTAGGTGTTATATGGGCTAATGGTGTATGTAATATCCTATTATAAATGATAATATTAATGAGTTTTTTTTTCTTTTTTTAGGTTTTTTTCACGTTGTTAAAGCCAAACTTTAAAACTGATCCCATTTCTAAGGTACCTTTGTTACCTTTCACTTCGGTAGGTGTTATATGGGCTAATGGTGTATGTACTATATAGTAGTCTTTAAAATGAATTAATGGTTTTTTTTCTTTTTTAGATTCATACGGATGTAATTCACCCGACAATGATGATACAGCAAGTGTAACAAGTACGACTAGTGAACATGAAAAATGCACATGGAAACTCTGATGTCTTCTATTTCGGAGATAATAAATAGATTAGTGGTGTATGTATATCTTTGGGAAGTATTAGTGAAGATTTAATTAGGAGGCTTAATAAACTTTATTGTCAAATTTAAAGATACTTTAGCATTTGATAACTATCTTAAAATATTACAATTTCGCTTATTATGACCCATATCACCACAATTTCCACATTTATATTGTTTACTATTTACTGAAGTCGTAGCCTTTTCTTTTTCATGGCTTGCTTTAATTCGTTTTGTACCCTTCGGGCGTCCTTTAGACCTGGTTTGTTTATTAGGATTATTGAGAATAAAAGGAAAATTTTCCTTATCAGATTCATCATCTTTTGTATCTTCTAATTCGATATTTTCATTTTGTTCTTCATCTTGTTCTTCATCAACATCTTTTAAGTAATTCTCCAAAATATGTATTATACGTATATCCCTTTTACTAACAGCTTTCATAGTAGCTTTATGTGATAAGCCAGCAATTTTACCATATAATTGTATGTCTGTAAGTTGTTCATGCCGAGTAATAAATTCTTGTGATGTTTTGCAAATTGCAGTTAAAAATGGAACATTATGTTGAGGAATAAGAGGTGTAATCTCATTTTCAAATTTGCTAGCAACTAAAAATTGCTCTTTACTAGGATCTTTATCTCTATAATACCATCGTGAAGGAATAAGTCTTAAATGGAATCTTGCTGCAGGACTACGAAGCATTATTTGAAAATAATGCCTGCAAATAATTCCTCGATTAATAAGAGATAGACAAGAGCAATAATGAGATCCATTTATTAATAAGATAATAAAATGTTTCTCAACAAGTTTGTTTTCAACATTTACAGCCCACATAGATGAAATTTGATCTTTATTAATGTTGGAAATCATACATGCTGCAGTTATTTGACGAGCATCAGATACATCTTCCAAATATTGACCTAATAAGAGATCATACTGCAAACACATGTAATAGCAATGTTAAATCAAGTAAAATACAAACATAATAAGTATACAATTATTATTGTAATATATACTTTATCAAATTCATCAATTACTTCTTGGGTAACTTGTACAGCATTATAAAAAACACACTGACGAATTTCATCTCTTTGAAGTTCTAATATGGCAGGAGGCAAATATTCTTCAAGTTTTTGGTTAATAGAAGTAAACATGAACGCAGCAGTGGAAATCTGAGTAGGCATACAGGGAATAGCAGCTTTCCATAACACAAGTTGATATTTTTTGTTTTCTGCCATTTGTCTTCTCTCTATTACATCCCCAAGTTCACATAAAGAAATATTAGAGTTAAAAATATAACTTTTAATCCATGCATTAATGCTTTCTACAGGAGAAGATGCATGGAGTCCTGCAGTAAATTGGTGACATGTCCAAGGATGAGCCCATGATTCTTTAGTATTATAAAGAGTATTTATCAAATATTGCTGTATTTCAGGATATTGAGTAATTAATTTTCTCCATTCTGATTCAAAGGAAAGTGTGTTTAGTGTATTACGTACAGCATGAAATTTTGTAAAAAACTCTTGAAATTTATTTCCAATTAGTTTTTGAACCTTTTTAATCAAATTTTGGCTAATATGAAAAGTGCAATGCATCGGGTATGTGGTAGGAAATGTAGACCTAATCGCAGCATGTACAGCTGGATCTGCATCTGTCATTATTACTTGTGGATACACATTATTTGTTGCTAAATTGAGTTGTTCAAATGACCATTCATGTGATTCTTTTGTTTCATCAATTAATAATGCTTGTGCAACAAGTCTTACATTCCGATTTTCATCAAGAATAATAAATAAACTTAAAGCCATCTCATACCTATTGGTTTTACAAGTTACATCTTGTACCACAATATCTGAATACCGATACCATAATTCTAACTGAGATGGCGTCATCCAGAATAAATGTGTAAGAGTATTATTATTATCAAATTTGATCGCAACCTTCCACATTGGATTATTTTGTGATAATTCAAGTAATTTCGTATACAATTTAGCTGCATCATTACTATCATCTTTATTTTGTGGACGAAAATGTTGAATTGCTTTATACAAATCATTATCATAAATTATTTGTCCTGGGAACTTTGCTTCAAGATATTGTCTTTGTGTAGCAGCTCCCATTCTGCATTTAATAGTAAGAAATTCAATCTCCTTCATAATTTCAGGAGGTATGTATTTGTTATCTCCAAATTGAATGATATTAGGATTAAGATTATGTGAATGGATATCATGAAGTGTTGTAATATAAACATATTTAAAAGGATTTTTAGAGGTAGGTTCTGATAAATTAATATGCCAAGCACAGCCTAGACGTTTTGTTGTTGTCTCTTTATTGGATTTTGTAACATAATTACCATGATGTTCACATTGTGCAGTACGTCTACGAAAAGTTCCATCAGATTTTTTCTCAACACGACTATATATGATATTAAACCCTTGCTGCTTTGCCCGACTTTCAATAGTTTCAAATGCTTGCTTCCAAGTGGTGAAAGCCTTTCCTTGATACAAAACTGGTTCAGAGTTTTCTTGTTGCATTGTAGTAAACAAAGGTATAAGGTGTGTAAAAAGCAAAAAAAAATAAAGGGACGTACAAAAAAATTAGGTAAACAAATAGTAACTTTTGTGTTACAATCACAATTCATATATTTACTAGCCAATAAAATTAAGCATTGTCCGCACACTAATATTTTCGTTTATTCAGAACTAAAACCAAGTTAATGACATTTATAAAAGCAATAACATATACTATTAGTCCTATCAACACTTTACCGAAAATGAAAAGTCTTTTTTTAACAAGATTTAAAATTAAAATTAAGCTTCTGCAATAAAAGAAGTCTTTTAATATAATATTTACCAACTCTCTATCAAAATAAAAAGACAATACCATCAAGAAAGTAAGAAAAGTAAGGATTAATCATTAATTATTAGACCTTTTCTATATAAGAATTTTATGTGTATGTAATTAATTACTTTATTAAAAAAATTGTTAAGCATCCTGGTTCCTAATTTATATACTTTAATCATTTCCAAAGGCTGTTTCATACACCATTAGCCCATATAACACCTACCGAAGTAAAAAATAACAAAGGTACCAAAAAAATGGAGAAAAAAGGATTTATACCATTTATCCTGGTAGAGCGTTAGAATTTTTCCGCCAAACAATTTCTACTAGTCCTTTATTACCTGGTATGTTTCGTCCGACGGTATCAGCTTTAAAGTTTGGCTTTAACAACGTGAAAACCCCTAAAAAAAGAAAAAAAACTCATTAATATTATCATTTATAATAGGTTATTACATACACCATTAGCCCATATAACACCTACCGAAGTGAAAGGTAACAAAGGTACCTTAGAAATGGGATCAGTTTTAAAGTTTGGCTTTAACAACGTGAAAAAAACCTAAAAAAAGAAAAAAAAACTCATTAATATTATCATTTATAATAGGTTATTACATACACCATTAGCCCATATAACACCTACCGAAGTGAAAGGTAACAAAGGTACCTTAAAAATGAGATCAGCTTTAAAGTTTGGCTTTAACAACGTGAAAGAACCTAAAAAAAGAAAAAAACTCATTAATATCATTTATAACAGGTTATTACATGCACCATTAACCTATATAACACCTACCGAAATGAAAAAAAACACAATTGGCGGTAAATCTTAGCTTTTACAACGAAAAAAAACCTAAAAAAAAAGAAAAAACACCTGTTAGTGTTGTTTCTAAAAGCTTCGCGTACACCAACAACCTGAATAACACCTACCGAGACTTCGCCAAAGTGGAAAGTAAGAGGTCTTCTTTAGAAAGGAAATCAAATTAAAGAACCTAAAAAAAAGAAGAAAATTGGTTAATATTGTTTACAAGAGGTTAATACATATACAAAAACTTTGAAGAGGCCGTTTAAATTAGTTCATAGTCTATATAACCGACACTTACCAATATTTTTTCCAAATGAGAAGAAGGAAGAGTAACGAAATTGACATTAAACTTCCGTTGTGAAAAGAATCTAAAGTGAAAGAATCTAAAGTAAAAAAAAAAATCGTTAATAGTGTTTTTAAGGTTATTAAACACGGTGTATTAAACTTCACCTACCGAGTCTTTAAAGAACGAAAAGTCTCTTTTCAAATGATATTAACGTCAAAATCCACAACGCAAAGGACCTGAAAAAAGAAAAAAAAACCTTTAGTGTAGTTTTCAAAACAAGACAAAAAAGAAGAAAAAAGAAACCAACCATCGAATATAAACATGATAAACAATGTTTTTAATGAAAACGTAATTAGAAAAGAAATGTAAAGGTTTGTTTTTATTAAAGGGTAGGGACAAAGAAACCAAAACAGATCGAAGAATTTTTTAAAAAAAAATTTTTTAAGATCGTGTTACAATTGAAATTTGACGCGCCACAAAAAAATTTTTCGCCAATAAAATTAGGAGGCGCATGCCCTTGCGACATATCGCGGGTGCGATAAAAAACAAAACCCTTTAAAATTATTAAATATTATTAAATATTAATAAAAAATATTAGTTATTACATCAAAATTATATAATATTGTAGTGCCGAAAAATTCAGCCGAAGGCGCAGTAAATTTTCGGCTAAACAACACCCAGCCGAGTTCATTCGACCACTACTATTTACGGCTAGCCGAAAATTTACTTCGCCTTCGGCTGAATTTTTCGGCTAACTACACCATTATTCAAATTATTGCAAAATTATTATATCCAACCAAAAAAAGTAATAAAAAAAGATAATAAATTGTGAATGTTAGGAATTTAAAATCAGCTTATCAGCAGGACCCATATGTTAAAAAAATTTTGTCTAATGATCGCTTTATAAAATTTATAGTTAAGAATGTAAGTTTAATTATTTAAGATTTTTATTTTATTTAAATTTATATTAATATTAATTTAATTATAGGATTATAAACAAAAAGAGATCAAAATATGAGGATGTATCAAAACTTGAAGGGTTAAATATCAGCTTCCAATATATATATGCTAAATCAATTAAAACAAATTCTATTTATATGATAATATATATTAATCAGATTTAATTTCCTACCAGACAAAATATATGGATTTAATGAACACCAAATTTGCTCAAATGTTCCAGAAACTTTCAAAGACAAGTATTTTTTCAAGAAATAAAATAAAAGTTATCCCTAACAATTTATAATCATAATAAAAATTTTTTACTATTTTTTTGTCCCATTTTAACATTACTTTTATCATTCTATTTATTTAAAGAAAATCAAAATTATCCTATTAAATCAAAATATTCCAAAGAAAACGTTGGAAATTTATTATCCAATTCCGGTAACACAAATGCTAGTTAGGTATAGTAAATAAATATTTAGTAATGCAAATTTATAGTAAAAGACAAAATATGATATAAAACGTTTATTAAAATTAATATATGAAATATATAATTAGAACTAAATTAATTATTTTGTAGTATACTAATTATTTATCAAAAAAATTACTTTTGTAACAAATCATGCCATTCTCATATTTAAAATAAATATTAAGAGTTAATACTTATTTTTAATAACAATGATAAATTTCGCTGTTACCTACTGCAAAATTCTTTTAAATATTAAAAAAATATAAAAATATAAATGAAGTTTTCCAAAACTAAATTATTTCTTACAACTTTGCTGCTCGTTAAAAACCTTTAGAAAACAAACAGAATCGTGTTATTCTCAAAAGCAGTGTAGAAAATGACTTGAAATAATAAATGATTCAAACGGCCCTCATTTGAGATTAATGTTGGCCAGCACTATAATTCTGGCCTACATTATACTTTAATTTTGTTATTTTCGTCGATTAAAATCACGTGATAAGATGTCAACAAATCAAAATGATGACATAAATGACAAATGATTATGAAGTACGACAAATAGAATAATCACCCAAAAAATTTTTGACTAACTTACACTTCCCTCTCGTTCTTCTTCTCTCTTACTTTTGCCGTTCCCTCTCTTCTTTCTGTTCTTTCCGTCTGTTTTCACGCTTTTTTCCGTTCCCTATCTCACTTCCTCTCTTCGTTCCTCTTTTTCCCTTTTCCTCCTTCTTTTCCTTCCCTTCGTTCTTTTCCTTCTTCTCTCTCTCTTCTCACTCTTTCTACTTTTCTCTTTGTTCTTTCCCCACTCTTTTGTCTCCTCCTTCTTCCTCTCTTTCCTTCAATTTCTTCCTTTTCTATTCAGCCTCGTTCATATCAATCTTATTACACTTTTTTTCGTCTCCAAGCTTAACTATCTAAACAAATTATGTTAAGTGAGCTTTCAAGTAAGAAGAGTATTTTTTTTTGGAGCAGCATGATGCTATGCATGGGCGGGAGCATAGCATGCTTACTTTGTAAGCCTGTGGGTACCAGCTTCGCTGCAGTCTCACAGTAGGGCTGGTTGGGAATATTTTTGGAGCGGTATAGTACTATGCGAGGGTTGGAGCATAGACGCTTACTTTTAGTAAGCTCGTGGGTACCAGCCTTTGCTGCAGTCCTGCGATAGGACCGGTTGGTTGTGGTCCGGCATGGTGCTATGCGTGATTTTCACGGGCGGAGCATAGTGCGCTTCTTAGGAAGTCCCTTTGTGGCAGGGCCGGAGTACTTTATCATAAAATGTGACGTTATTCTTTTTTACAAATTATCTTTTTGCAATTTATATAATTTAAAAGTTTTTGGTCAATAGAATATAGCCAAAACTTTATCTAAGAATGGGAATTAATAAAATTTTAAAATATGTAGCAAGCTGTTTGTAATGTTAGTCACATTGATTGCTTTATGATCGAATTTAACCTGCTGTTAATAATTATTATTGTTTTATTCAATTTTTTTTTCGTGGAGCGTTTTTAATCTATAATAACTAAGTGTATTTGTGGAGAAAAAATATATATGTTTACTAATTTATCAGAATTTATAGAATTTTTTATATACATATTTCATCACAATCAATTTTCAGTTCATTTAAAAAAAAATTATTAAGTACTTGTTATAGAAATTGATCTTTAATATGGAATAAATACGATTGATTTAAATTTTCAAGCAAAGCAAAAAAAAATGTAATAATAATTAAAAAGAAAATTATATGTTATATATCTTTATTAATTTTTACGAATAAAATAAATGTATAAATGTATCCGATTTATTTTTTTATGAAATAATTTACAGCGCAGTAATCGTCATGGGATTTAGATTCACAAAAGCAGCAGAATAATGAATAGTAATTGATGACCTTAATAAGCGTAGAATTTCAAAAATTTAGATTTATTAACATTTTATTTTTAGCATGACATATTGGACTTATAAATTACACATTTCAGAGGAATCACGCGAATTGCGTCATTGCATTATTTCTATTTCTATGAAAGAAAAAAAATAAAAACTAATACAAAAAAGTAAAGACAAACAAATGAATTAAATAAACATATCGAAATTGTAAAGATGTGAATAAAAATAATAAAATAAAAATTGAACAACATTTAATTTGTTATTTTTTAAAGCAACTACAACTGCAATCACAAATATCTTTGCAAGAACTTCCATTACAAGTATTACAGCAGCAACCATTTTTGCTGAAACATGAGGCCTCTAATAATTATTTTAAATGAGAATGATTAGTATCAAAAAAAAAAAGAAAAAAAAATACTTTTAAAAACTTATAATAATAAATAATTAAAGATATTTACTGCAACCAGCATCGCCAAAACTGCATGAGATACGTTTTTGTAAATCGTTACTTGGTATAGCGTTAACGATTGTAATGATGGTAAATAGGAATAAGAAAAAGCTGACTTTTGAGAATTGCATGTTTAAATTTTTTTGTTGAGTTTAAATTAAAGGTTTGATTTGTAGATTGTATTTGTAATTTGTTGTTTTATTTTTTTGATTAAAATTTTATGGAGATAGAGCTTGTATTTATAACTACTGAATCCTATCATTTTTTTGTTCGACAATTTTGGAAAATTTTGATTAATCAAAATAAAAATTTTTCACTTCAAACATTTTTCTTTGACAATTTTAGATAGGTTCACGGAGAAGTGTTTGACATCAGTAGAATGTAAAGAAATTTTTCTTCAACAAAATCGACAAGAAAATGATAATTTAAGGAAAAGTTTGATTTTTTTTTTTGAGATATCAAACATCTTTTATTACAAATTAAGGAGAAGTTTGATATTTTGTTTGAGGATAGTAAGCAATAACATCTTTCCATCTTTTTGAGGATAGTAAGAAATAACTTCTTTCCATCTTTTGACAAGTTTCATTATTATTTTACGAAAACAATCAAATGCAAGCCATTTTTTTCACTTATATGTTAAACAATTAATATAATTAAATATGTTTAAGACCATACCCCGAATTTTTTTTTGATCGGGTACCAAAAATCCAAAATTTGGCCAGTGTTAATTTAATTCCAGCCAAATTTAATTTTGGCTGTGGGAAAAAATGAATAATCTGATAACTTTAATGAGCTAAACAATAAAATAAATCTAAAACTAAACAATAAGATAAATCTAAAACGAATTAGTAACTTCCTTTATGTTCAAAGTAGTAAAATTGACAAAGTAAAAAAATGGCACTTACTTTTTATGAGAAAAACTTAACAAAATTGGTCATTTTTTTTTAAAAAAAATAATGACAATTTGCCTTTATGGTCGAAACAATAAAGTAGATTTAGACAAATAAGTCAAAGAAGGTGGTGGAAAATGCGATCATGTACTACTCCGCACTAAGGAGTTGTACAGGTTTTAAATTATTCCACTTTTGGTTTAGATTATCGCACAAATTAGGAATAGATTGGAATCCTATTATTAGATTAAAGGCGATTAATCAATCATTTTCTCAAAATTTTGAAATTTTTTAATTATAAATAATTTAATTCTTAGTAATTCCCAGCCGATTTATAAAGAATAATATCCAAGCAAGATTTTTTCCAAAGTTCAAATTAATAAAAATGTTCATTTTACGCAAATGGTTGATCATTGTAAATTCTGTTACACAAGTTAATTTCTCTGGTCAAATATTGTTTATTCGAAAAAAAGGGAAAGTAAAAAAATAATAACGTCATGTGGCGGGGAATGACATGAATAGTTGCACGTGATCAAAAAAAGAATTCACACTATGACGATCCATTTAATTCTTACTTTATATCTTCATTGCCTTTACGTAAAATATCCTTATTAAAGTCCGGAAGGTATAATGCATTCATAATTTCTTCTACCCTCTTCTCATGTGCTCACCCATAATTGTAATAACATGAATTTCTTCAAAATTGGCCTAACTAGTTGTGTCATGTTTTTTGACCTACCTTTAAAGCGTTAATATCATTATATTGTTTTTCAGTCGGGCCCAAGTATAGCTTTCAAAATTTATTTTTGGTATTGGGAGATCGCTTGTGTTAGACGAATTTCTTCTTGATCAGGTTTGAGTACTATTCTCTTTCACAAAAGTATCATTATCGACATTCGTATTGGCATTATTTTCATTATTAATAATTTTTGATTGATCTCATGTAGATGGTGATGTTCTCTTGTCCAGCAGGAGAAATATTGCCCATTATTATTGGTGATCTACAGTTATCATTTTTCCGGGATGATTTTAATTTTATGTGTTGGTACTTTTTTTTTTTTTTTTTTTTTGCGACTAAAAAAATTTTTTCTGGTCATTTAACAGATATACGCACAAACCGTTCCTTGAGACATGTTTAATGGAGTATATCATGGTACTATGGTAGTAACGGTTCGTTGAGATCTCAGAGATGATCTGGTTTAGTAGATCAAGCTGGAAACCTCTCTGAAATATTTGTCAAAGTTACACTGTCCATAATGTTAAATTATTGAGCCTTATTTCCTTTCTCATTTCACCTAAATATTAAAGTTATAAATTCAATATATCGAAATGATGCATAAAAAACATATAGTTAATTAAGCAAATCCTAACGACAGGATATAAAAACATGATAATTAATTAAGCAAACCTTAAACATTCTAGATTTTATTTCATGGCTACAATCATAGATTAGACAATCTTGACGATTAGGCATTTCATATTCCCAAATTTCCATCATATATAATGATTACTATTATGTTTTATTATTAAAAGATCGTGCCAAGTTATATAAAAATTACATAAACGAGAAAGAATCTGTAACACTAGAGTGACATTATAGGGAAATTCCTTTAACAACTATACAATTGTTTTATAACTTTTTCACGCTCTTAAACAACGTAAGATACTTCTCAGTTTTCTTCCGATGCCCTTTTAGTAAATTATAAAGCGGTAAAAGCGTTAACATCTTTCCAGAAATAAATCCCAAGAGATCATTATGTTGTTTATATTCAGTGATGCAAATAAGATAGATCCCTGAGATTGAAAAACCAGAGTTTAATACTAAGGAATTGTCATGATTATCCTATACCTTGATAACGTATTTTCTTAATCAACCATGGCCGAATAAACGTGAACTTTGGAGCCAAGACCATATTTATATAACATCTCTTTCAAAATTCAAACTATTTCCGTTCACTGAGTTCCCTAGCAAAGTCCGCAAGAACTGTTATCCCGTTGTTAATTATATTAAATTATAAGACATAAAATTTGAAAAGTTTATCCGTAATAAATTTTTTATTTCGTCAACTAAAATGGACGTTGTACTTACTTTAGGATCAAAATAATAATAATTTTATTGCTCTAATAAGAAATAGTGCTGCGTTTCGGATTGAATAAAAAAAGGATTTTGGTTTTTTGTGAAAAAAAAAAAAATCATCACTTTTATGACGTAATTTTCGGCAAAGAAATTTTCCGATTTGATCTACAGTACATTTGCGACTTAATTTCTGAATATAAGAGTAATGATTTCTTTACCTGAATTCGACATTAATGCATTAAATTCTTCGGAAAGACCTGTTAAATAACAATGACTATACCCTTTTTCACCGGTAGAAAGAATAATTCGGCTACCGTTCCTCTGCTAATGACTTCTTAGGCTCCGTCTGCTCTAGTGGTATTCTACTTTAGCTGTGATAGTTTTAAACGTTGTATGCTTTTATAGTATAGTCTATTTTGCGTAATTTCTAATATGTACTCTTTATATTATAGAAAATCATTGTTTAAATTTGAATGTTAAAAATTTTATCAAATAGCTTTAAAAAAATTAGATATATCAAATTACTTATTTAGTAACGAAATCAATTTAATAAATTAATAAAAGTGAACAAATCGATTTAATGATTTATGTAATATGTAATTACTATTTGTTGCTGACTTAGCCAAGTCTTTTTAAAAAACTTGTTGTCACCTGATCACCACGTTGAGGTGCAGCAACATTGATCAGGGGGGAAGGGGAAAGCAAAAGGAAGAGGGGAAAGGGAAAAACGAAAGGGAAAGGAGAAAACGAAGGGGAAAGGGGAAAACGAAGGGGAAAGGGAAACGAAGGGGACGGAAAGGGGAAAACGAAGGGAAAGGGAAACGAAGGGGAAAGGGGAAAACGAAGGGGAAAGGAAACGAAGGGAAAGGGGAAAGAGAAAAACGAAAACTAAAGGGAAACGAAAGGGATGAGAGAGAAAGAGCAAAGGAAATACACAAACATACACACCACCCACACATAAACCACACACACAAACCTACAACCCACATACCTAAAGGAAAACGTAAAGAAAAGGGGCCTAAGAATAAAGAGAAGACCTAGACAGAGAGAAAACAGACCTAAAAAAAGAAGACAAAAAAGAGAGAAAACAGACCTAAAAAAAAGAAGACAAAAAAAAAAGATAAATATTTAAATTATTTAAATTATAAAATTATTACATGTCATAAGGAGTAATTTTTTTCGCGTAACTTCACATGACAGATATGTCATACAATATCAAGATCAATACTTTTGCATCAGTGATACAAATAAAAGGAGATATAATCAAAAAAGGAAAAGCAAGGGTGAATAAAGATGACGTAGGTGGATAGGAAGGAATATTACATGGTTAACTATCAAATCGCAAATCGTCTAGTGCATATTTATCTCGACATTGAAGACAAATAAGCCAAGCCACGTGAATACTAATACTAAGGAGAGACTATTAAAATAATGATACCGTACTGGTATATAAATTGAAAACTACATATCAGTCACTGGACATTTCCAGCGCAGCGCCAATCACTAATTAAAAATTTTGTACTACATAAATTAGTCTATCTTCATTTAGTTCGAACGGGACAAAGATTTAACAAAATATAACTTTTTTTACAATACATTAAAAGTATCATATATGAACTTTCAAATGACACTAATTTTATCAAAATACCTCACTTCCTTAAATATTTCACTATATAAGGTTTTTCTATGACTTTTTAACCTTTAAACTGAGATCCTTCCGCCAATATTAGTTCTTTCAAAGAGATTTTTACGTGACGAACCAACTATTAGTATAGTTTTATTGTTGTAAAATTTGGTTGGAAGTTTAGATGTGCGTTGTTGATAAATAGCTGAGAAGGTAAATTCCTTATTATACAGTAAGCGTCAGAACCAAAAAATGTTTAGTTTACAGACACTTCTAAACTTCACATTCAACTTTTTTATATAATTTTATTAAAAAAATATCAATAATTTAAATAAATTTCTAATTACATGTTTCAGAATAATATTCACTAATCAACAACTTTTTTCTATTATCCATTTTCCACATCAGATTTATACAGTTCACCCTCACTATAGTGAATCCTATGGGCTGGAGATTAAAATTCATTATAGTGAGAAATTCACTATACTGAGGGTCAATTTATTATATATAAAAAAAATCTGTACCTAAACTTTTCTTCATTATAGCATTATTCACTATATAAAAATTCACTATGGAGAGGGTCGGCCATCAATTAAAATAATATTAGTTTCGTTTAA